TATGGCTCCCTCCACCCCGAGATCGCTTCGACCAGGGCAAGAAAAATCGGGAAAAAGACGAATGGTGCTCCGTCGCGTTACCGAGGAGTTTCCTTCTTGCTCGTGGTAGAATAAAATGGAGGAAGTGCGTTTACCTCAAGGAGAAACGGTTCGGGAATGCGCGCCGAAGTAGGGTAAGTCTCGTTACCACTAAGAGAGATTTTCACGGGCGTATTAATATGGCCGCGGATGTGCAGTACTCTTGTAATTACCCTCGGTAAGTGGGTTAAATGTCGAAGTACGCGAATGCGCTCCTTCGGGGTCGGGGATGTTCTTCCAGCTCCTGGTAACGTGGTTTCAATGAGGTCGGATGGAATAATTGGGGGACGCGAAATCATCGAACTTCTTATCAGTGGGAAAGTTTCTCGCGTGTCGCGGAAAAAGTGGAGGGCCCGCGATCGCTCCTGGAGAAATGGCTTCGTACTGCGTAGCTCGATAAAGTAGGATACGTAGGTTTATTGCTCCTCGAAGCGCGATTCTTGCGCGCGAATGGGTGAGGTCTCGAGGCCGGAGAAAGAGATGTTTATATAACAGGGAGTTGGCGTAAAAAGCGCCCCACAAAAATGGCGGACATCGTTCGGCGCATTCTTGACCGCTAGGAAAGAAATCCACTTGAGGGTTTTTGCAACGTCTTCGCTTGTTACGATTCCGAAAACTTTGGTTTTTGGCGTTTGGCCAGGTTTCTCATGGGGTGGGTAATCCGAGGGAATTCTTCCGGGGGTGGCCGCAATTTCCACGGGGTTCCTTCGGGGATCTCGATTTCCGCCCTGGTCGGTGGTCCGAGTCCTAGGAGTTTCCTTCTCCCCTGGAGAACGATCACCGCGAAGTTGCGGTCGGATAAAGTGGCTTCTGGCACGGCGGAGAGCGAAGTTTCGTTATGGGGTGGCGGCCATTAACGGGTGTACAAGCTATGGAACTTTATACCCGGTGACATAAAGCCCGGCTGGCCTCGTATAAAACTGACGGCTACACGGCCCATTACCGGGACGCTATCGAGAAGCAGACCGTTTAATTTGTGCATCTCGTTCTGCGTTTTGTTCCAGGCTGACGTTTCGCCTCGTGGACCCGTAGATAAAAGGCCTCAAAGTGTTCGGCACAGTGGAGAAGCCGTTCCACCCGTTCGAGCTGTGCACCAGGTGAGTGACCAACACCCAAAAATGCGAGAATGCCGTATTTTCCAATACTTCGAGAACAGGGGACTTCACCCCTTGAACTCTCGAAACTCGCCGAGTTCAACTTGTAAGTACTCACATTAACGAAATACGCCCGGACCCGGCGACTTTTAGAAAATGGCGCGACGCTTTCGTTATCCTTCCGTTCGTCCAAAATCAGTTAAGCCGTTTATTCCTTCTCGTTGGTCGCATCTTCAAAAATCGCCGGGTCTCTTGGGAAGTCTAACGTTTCCGTTCGACCCAGAGGAGAGAGAATGGGAGGGAATGTTACGAAAAACGTTTCTCGAATTTCGCGTTTCCAGCGGAACTGTCGGAAACGAGTCCAACCGGCCGAGTAGATTTTCAGGATCGATTTGGGTTCAAACCAAATCGAGAGGAAGCTTTGACGTTTCCCGATAACGAGAAGGTCGACATTTCAAATTCTTCTCTCTCGATCTGATTTGAACAGATTCATGCGATACAGTTTGAAATTCATAGCCGTCTCGAATTCATCCCGTGCGGCATTTTGATTTATTAATTATTTATCGATTATCCACGAACTCTGGGAACGTACGTCCATATCATGCCGCACGGGATGGTCGCGTCAAGTCCCGACTAACGCGAGCTCGTATTTCCAGGCTCTCCCGCGTGTTCCCGCCCGCAACCCTGGCCAGTATACAAGGTGAGTACTCCGACCTAACCTTAAAAGCCCTTCGACCATAACGACCGCCGACCTCTCGGTTCACGATCGACCTTGGCCCTCGCCTCTTCTCATGAATTTCAGAATCGCGACTCGCGACTTGGACCCGAGATTAAGTCCGGCGTCGCTCCATGGACGGGGTCGGTATCCGCTTTCGATCGGCCCTCAACGAGGTCCATCTAAATTCGATAAAACTTGTTCGTATAAACTAATCGATCGAAGGGACTTGGAAGATCAAAGTAAATTTCCCTAGATCCGGCTAGACCCAGGAAATCGCTTGATTTCCCCGCGAAGTATCATTACGGAGCATCGTTTCGTCTTTTGGGGAAGAATCCAAGATGGCGGCGACTAGAGGCGAGGGCCAAGGGACGCCGACTCGTTCGCAGCGACACTTGGCAATTTCGGTTGGCCCCCCATCAAGCTGGCACCTCCGCCGTGCAAGTATTCCCTCCCAGTCGGGATCTTTCGATCGCATCGAGCCTTCGACGGATCTCGAGGCCGGGATCTTGTACGGCGCTCCCCGGCGAGCGTCTCCCCCGAAGAAGTGGATCACTTCGGGAGAGCGTTCCCCCGCCCAAGGCGCGGCTTTTTACTTCCGATACCAGACGAGACCGTCAAAGTACCGCTAGCCTCCACGGAACCGTGGTCATCCTGGAATCGGCGGGCTATTCTCGCGATGCACGAACGGGCCCAGGCGATCACGCAAAAACCAACCGGGCAATAACCATTCCCCGCGATGCGATCCTCCACTTTCCGAGAGGCTCGAGCCCGGAGATCCGTGATCGCTCCGTCGCTCTCCCGGATGCTGCGCGATCCGGGTCCATCCGGAGGTGCAGCAGGATAAGCCGCGGGAACCTGTCGCTGGCGTCCTTCTCTCTGCTTCCAGGGAGCCGACGTGGCGGACCCAAACGAGTCGTAGAAACCTGGGGAAAATAGAAATATATTCATTAACACAAGTTACCTCTATCCGGTGGTCTCGCTCCCTCGGCAAGACAACAAATGCGGTACCACCCTTTGGCGATGGGTCGGTAGTGCACCATGTATGCGATATCAGAGATACAAGTCGCCCTCCTCCGCTGATCTCGCTCCCAGGTGGTAGCCAAAAGTACGGCCAGTGATGAGAAAAATCCTGGTCTCAATTTAGGTCTTGCAAATGCGTTGTACTTTTTTTTAGAGACCGTAAGACCAAGGATCTCGCTCATCCGAAGGTATCGCGCATCGATAACGGGTCGCAGGCAGAGAACGCTGGAATTGGAGCAGAGTCGGAGGCTCGGCGTCGCCTTGAAGCACGGCCACTAAATCGCGGCGGCTATACCGGCACTCGGTCCTCTCTATCGCTATAAACTCCATTCATGATCGCGTCGGTCGTACGGCGTAGGTACCTCGCGTGTCCCCGGGCGCGATTATTATTTACAGCCAGAACGCGCCCTGTCGGAAGGGCCGACCCAGAGACCCAGAGTCGCGGGACGTCTTCCGCGATATCCGCCGCGTCCGGGTAATTGGACGGCGTCCGTCTCTGCGGATTCCGCCATTAATACACGGAGGACGCGGGGCCTCCGCCGCGGCCGCCCACGGCGGGTCGATCGGGTGGAGGCGCGCGCCCGTGCCTCTCGTCGGCCCGTTTTACTTTACTGCCCATAAAGGTACCAAGATTTAGACTGCAATACATCCGTGACGTATCGCCGCCTCCTAGGTACAGGTGTACGGAAGGGGCACGAGCCACTCCGAGAAGGAATCGCGGCGATTAGGCCGCGCCCCGAGTTTTGGCTTAAAAAGAAAAAAAGAAAAAAAAGATAAAAATTGACATTGCTCCAGAAAATCGGTAAATCTGAAAATATAGGTCGCAAAGTAAGGGTCCATCCGCCTCGATGGAGGGTACCTCGTATCCGGGAGGATCCTCGTAGAAACGAGGTTATCAAAATTTGGGGGAGGGAGGAGAAATAGATTTTTGTTTCCCAAGGAGATCAGAGTTTGGGAAAGATAGCGAGGGGGAATACGGGGTCGTCGTCGCTTTAACGATTGCGCCGGGGAGGAGGCGGTCGGCTCGTCTCGTAACAGGTGCTCGCGGGCGCTCCTCGGCCTCGCGGCTCGTCTCGCAGTCGGCGCTCGGCGCGTCTGCCTCGGCGTCCGTCCGCCGGTGGCTTTTTCCGCGGAGGGGGAAGCCGGCTCGTCGGGAGGGGGGGCGGCGGCAGGGTCGGGACGGAGGGGGGCGCTTGTCGGCTGGTTGCGGGAAGCGCCGAGAGATCGCGCCGGCGTCGCCTCGGCTCGTCGGCTCCGAGCGGCGGTCGGAGCTCAGTTGCCGCTCAGTTCGGCTCAGCGAGGCCAGCGAGAAGAAAGGGGGTTCCCTTTGTGTGTATACATGTGAGCCTCATTGTTCGGGCGGCAGCGGCACGTAACTCGGCGCGTTCTACCTGCGACCCCTCGCGAAACGACGTCCCATCCGACGGAGAGGCGGCTACCTGCGCCGAGGCGAACGACGTTGGCGAGAGAGAGAGAGGGAGCGAGACGGACGGAGAGGGAGCGAAGGAGAGCGACCGAGAAGGGGAGTCGAGGGCGAGCGACGACTCGCCCGGATAGAGGGACCCGCGGGCGCGCGCCCCCCCGGAGGGTGGAAGGGAGAGAGACGGAGGACCCGCGATAGAGGAAGAGCGGCGGTCCCTCGGGGCAGCCCGGTCGCTCGAGCCGTCACCGGAGGGTCGGCGGCGAGCGCCAGCCGTGGCGGCGGTGGAGGCGGCGGAGGCGGCGGGGGTGGCAGCGGCGGCGGTGGCGGCGGCGAGGACGGTGGCGGCGGCGGCGGTGGTGGCGGCCGCGGCGGCGGCGGTGGTGGGACACCGCGAGCGAGCGGCGGAGTCGCCGTCTCACCGTCGCTCGAGACTCGGTCGGAGCAGAGGATAGGAGGAGAGACGGAGAGAGACGGACCGTCGGACCTAGCGCTCTCGTCGTCGTCGCGCTCGCGCCCGCGTTCCCGTCGGAGTCGGTCGAGCCGGAGCGGTCGCGCGTCGGTGCGCGTCATGTCGTTGGCGCGAGCGGTCCCCTCGCGGCCCGGGGCGCGCGGGTCCCCGCGCGGAGGCCCCTGCCGACTCCCGGCCCGCGGACCGCACTGAGACATGTCGAGGTCGTCCAGCCGAGGCGCCAGGACCCTCGAGCCGGAGCCCCGGTGATTGCCAAGTGTCCGAAGCGAGCGACCCCTCCACCCGGAAGGCGAGAGAGCGAGAGAGAGAAAGAGAGGGAGAGAGAGAAAGATAGAGAGAGAGAGAGCGAGTGGGCTCGGGCCTTGCTGCCACGTACTAAAGTGTGCCGTGTGTACATGTTTTCTGTTTCAACCGGACCCGCCGCTGGATGCGCCGTTGCCTCCTGAACTCCGTCCGGTTCTTCCGATCGGCGCCGACCCGCGCGCTCACGTGGCGCCCCGCGACACCTCTTGGCCCCCCTCCCTCCCGCCACCGGGTCCCCCTTCCCTCACGCCGGGCGCTCCCCGCTCCCCGGCGCCGGCTCGCCCTTTAAACGCTTTCCCGGATTTTCCCTCGGCCACCCCCACCTCCGACGGCCGTCTGCCGCGGCGCGCGCCCCCTCCCCGTCCCGCGGCGTCTCGCATGTGCTCCCCCACCTCCCGGCCGCCCGCGCGCTCTTTATTTACGCCGCGGACCCGCGGACCGCCACGACCCTCGACGGCGACGCCGACGACGACGACGACGACCGCGATCGCGACCGCGATGCCGGGCGCCGCCCGCTGGTGAACTTCGCCGCGGCCCACGCCTCCTCGCCCGCGGCCGGCCCGGCCTCTCCGCGCCTAAAACCGGACACCCACCGTCGCTATCTGCACCATCGCCGATCACGTGGCTTGCTCGACGGCGACGCTGTACGACAATGTGCACGCCGCGCCGCTATGCGGTTCCGGCGTGGGCCACCCTGGTTCCGTCGCGCCGATGGGCTCAGCCACCGGAGCGGGGAATTCCACCGGGGTGACCTGGTGGGCCATGATGAACGGCACCCTCTACGAGGACAGCCCGCCGCACGTGCCGCCCACCTCGTCGCTAGTCTCGATCCAGCAGCAGCAGGCGGGCCCCGCGCCCGGGGGCCCGGGCTCGCACCAGCAGGCGAGCACGCCCACCTCGCCGGGCGCGCCCGGCAGCGGTGGGGGCGGCGGCGCGGGCTCGGCGCCCCCGGGGCCCGGCGCCGGGGGCAGCGGGGGCGGCAGCTCCACCTCGCCCGGCGCCTCCTCGGTGGCCAGCAACGGCCAGTCCGGGCCCCTGCACATCCCCGCGAAGCGGCCCCCCACGGCGGCGGGCTCGACCTACGGCGAGGTGGCCTGCGTCGAGGCCGCGGGCCCCCCGGGCGCGGCCGCGGCCGCCGCCGCCGCCGCCGCGGCCGCCGCCGCGACCGGCGTCATCCGGCACTCGCACTCTTCCGCGGCCGGCTCGCAGGCCGGCTGGAGCTACAGCCCCCACCATCCCCAGGAGGCCCACTACTCCAGCTCGGGCAGCGCCGGCGACCTCAACCACCACGCCCAGGGCTACGGGGGCCCCAACCCCCCCACCTACTACAACCTGGCGGCCGACCCGACCTCCGGCTCCGTTGCCGCTTCCGGGGCCGCCTCCAGGGACGCGCGCAAGGCCGGCGCCACCCTGAGCTTCTGGTCGCCCGCCACCGCGGGCTCCGCCGCGGTCGCCACGTCGGACTATAAGTCCTACAACTCGGCCGGGGGCGCCGCGACCACCACCTCCTCCGCCGGGGGCGGCGGGGGCGGCTCCGCCGGCGGGGCCGCGGGCGCCGCCGATCCCGCCGTCTCCTCCTGCCACCAGAGCTTCGCCGGCAGCTGGTGCAACTACTCGCCCTACACCACGGCCAGGCACCACCATCCCGTCGACCCGGCGGCCCACCACCACCCCCACTCGCAGCCCGGCGTGCCCTACCTGACCCCCTCGGCGACCGACGAGCGCGGCCGCGTCGCCGCCGCCATGGTCGCCGAGGGCGCCTTCCCCCACGACGGCTACAGCGGCCTCCGGAACTACGCGGCCCACGAGCCCGTCGCCTCCAGCCCCTACCCGGCCCCAGGTAAGCACCGACTCCAGGTTCGCCTCCGAGGGGGGACTGCTCCCGTCTCGGACTTTCGGGAACGGCGCCGTGCAGAGACTCGCGGAATTCGCCGGTTTCGCTTTCGGACGCCCGGGTCCCGGTGGGCGATCGCGCCGACCCGGGGACGGGTATGCAAATGCGGTGTGCATCGACCGCCGCGTGGATCCGACGTTCGGGATTTCGTATTTGTGGGAATTGATCCGCGTCGCGAGTCAGGCTTGGCCGTTGCATAAGTATTTCCGAAGCGTCCGAGGATGCGGAGGAAGATATCGACCGAACGCGTAATTGCTTAACCGACTGCCCAATTTTGTAACGCATTCGAGTCATGGTTTCGATATTACGCGGTATTTCTTTTTTTTTAACGCCCCCTTTTGCCTCCGATCTAGGCCACGCGACTTTCCCGTTAAGTCGAAAGTCGCGCGCCCGGCCACGGGAATCTCGCCCTTAGGGGCTCGTTTCCACCCGGGGGAGGGCGCGAGACGCGCTTAAAGAGTCGAGTCATCCTTCATTCATGCATTTGGTCAGGTCCTCCCCCCTTTCCCCGGGTGCCCCCGGCTCGTGAAACGTCGCACGAGCAACAACGAACGCCGGCGGGTTTATTGGCGGCCGTAACTCGTAAACTCTGGCGCGCGCCTCCGATCAGCTGATCCGTTCCATGACCCGCTCGGCGTTCCGTCTTCCTGCCTGCTAACGGCCGCCCGCCGGCCCGAGCGGACCCGCGGAACGCGGAACGTGAAACGCGGAACGCCGAGCCACCCCGAGGTGGTTCCTCGAGCCCCCGCCCCCGCCCCCACCCCCTTTCGGGGCCATCTCGGGCCCCGAAGTGGGCGGCAAGGAGCGGGCAAACTGCCGACCTCGCGCCGCATCCACGTTCCAACGGCCGTGCGCGCTATCGCTCACGACCGCGCGACTATCTCGCTCTCTCCGCGACTCGGACTTCGCCCTCGGAAAGAAATCTCTCGAACGAGCCTAATTTATTCATTTCACGGGGATCCAATTTCTTATTATCCTTGGAACGTGCATTTATATGTATATATATTTTTTTTTTTAATCACTGGTTACTCGATCGACCCTCGTTACTCGATTACGTTACCGTTTACCATATATGAAATCAAGGGCAATCGGTTTTCCAATGAAGGAAATCCCTGATTAACGATCAAAGATTTTTTCACAATTTTCCGAGTAAACGGCCCCTTGGGAAAAATCATCTATGAAATTTTTATTTATTTATTTTTTATTTCTTCAGTCGTCGCGATTAAGGGAACGTTTATTTATGTTTGCTCATCTGTCAAGAGGTATTTATTTTTTATCGGACATCTCCCTTTCGTTGCGCGTCCTCCGTCATCCTCGAGGAACTTTCCACGGAGGTAGGCTAGGCTCCGCGACTCGGAGTTTCGAAACCACGAGGGCCTTCGAACCGGTTTACGGGCGACTCAAAATGCGGGGAAACGGGCTGCCGGCTCCGCGAGGGTGCCGTGGAAAGGAAAAAAAAAAATGGGAATCAGGGTGATTAAATGTCACCCGGTGCGTCCTATCGGGCGGTCGAGGTGCACGGTCTCGTCGGGCCGACCGCCAAGGCCGCGCGGAGCGCGTGTACGCGCCGCCGTCTGGTTTTGATGTTTCCCGATAGATGGCAGCTGCGTTATCTCTTGACGTTCCCGCGCGCCGCAGGTCGCTGCGTGTCGCGCTCCCTCCGCTCGATTTCTACGCACAGCCGCGGGAGCCTCGACTCGGGGACGAGCCGAGGGAGAGCGGATTCTGCGCGCGTTCCGGTGACACGGGACGCGGAGAGCGATAATGCCGAACCGTGTAGATGCGACCTTACTCGGGAAGAATCTTATGGTGGTATGAAAGGGTCATTATATATATATATATAAAATATTAGATATGTATAAAACTTTATCTCCAACCTAGATGCACCAAATCATTTGAAACTCTAACGCGTTATTATGGAGGTTCTAAGGAAGAACGAGGTACTCATGAAATTTTATTTTTAATAACATTTTTTATAACATTTTTTTTATTCATCCTAGACTAGAACCGAGAACAGGTATTTTTTTTTTATATGAAATTTTATGAACATGTCTTCTTTACTTCATGGTCATGTGCGGAGAGCTTCAAATGATTCCAGTGCATCCAGTTTGGATAAAAGTTTTATGAATATTTTTACTTTTATGCGTATAGAGTGACCCTCTCGTATCACCTTTACGGCGCTCCGTCGATCTTCCGGCATCCTGAATTGATTTTCCCGGGGCGGGGGGAATATATAATTTCGTCTCGGACATTATTACCGGCCGGTTATCCGGGAACGGGAACTCTAATCTTTAATACCCAATAACGCATTGCAATTGGCGTCGTAAAGCGAGCCTACGTGAGAGAGTGACCCAGGCTGTACTTTAATCGCGGCGATGGCAAACATTAATAATCGGATAGAGGGGTTCATTCAATTTTCCTGGATTTCCTGGAGTTATTACGGGGGCGTTGGACTCGTATTTAGATAAGGGAAAGTCGTTTCACGGCGGATTTGCATTTACTCCGGGATCTTGGGAAAAGGAGGGAAAGATCGCCGGTAATAATTGACTCGTCACCCGTATAAGCGCGTTCTGCTACGTGTCTTTCGGTTTCGAGGGAATCCTGACCTTTGTCAAATAATTAGCATGTTTTCGTGTTTTAGTGGGCTATAAATTCCCGCCGCTTAGGCAATCGCGGGGAGAGAAGGAGAGCGAGAGAGACGGCACGAGGCGAGACGGCGTTTTACGCGCGCGAGGTCGCGGCTAGGCTTTGGCGTTTTACCGTTCGGATTCATTCCGCGTCCAGGACGCGGGGAAAATAAATCGCAACGCGGTGAACCGACCGCAGCGCGGACCGCATTTCGCGGCTCGACTCGTCCGGGCTGTCGCCTTTAACGAATCGACCGGTCGCCCGACGTAACGAGACCCAGAACCAGTCGAAGATCGAGATTAATCGACACCGATCGAGATCTCGCGTTTGGCCGCGTAGAATTCTTAAGGAAACTTTCCCGCGGAATGTTGCTCTGCACGGCACCGAGGAGGATGTACTTTGTTAATGTGTTATTCTTTTTAATAGTCACTGGCTACGGGCGATTTAAATGCGAATTCGTGTAACGAGATGATTTTCGGTTAACCACTCGGGGGATTTATTCTTTATCGATGTTTATACCGCTGGGTATGGCGTGGCGTGAAACACGAGACCTCTCGTCACACGTCCGAGATGCGTTAAGACTTTTAACCTTGCGGTCGGTCCCGTTCCATTCCGGTTCCGAGATCGACGTACCCGTGCGAGATCCTGGATTTCATTCTTTTTTTTTTCCCTCTTCTTGAGAGAGAGAGACAAGTTCCTTGGGTCATTTTTCGCCAAAAGAATCGGGGATTTTTGTATCGTGACGGGAGAGGGGATATTTGGATTTTTGAATTTTTGCCATTTTTTGGGGTTTCCTCGGGCGGAGGGTGGCGGGGTGGCGCGACTCGCGACAGGCACACCAGTCCGAGGCACACTAATTGTGTCAAGTGATGTGGGGTTCCTCCCCATCCTCCTTGTTTTCCGCAGGTTCGCTGGCGGGAGTCGGCATGAGCGTCGGGGTGCCCGGGATGAGCGTCAACTGCGGGGGGTCGAACCCCCTCGAGTGGACGGGCCAGGTGACGGTGCGGAAGAAACGCAAGCCCTACTCCAAGTTCCAGACCCTCGAGCTCGAGAAGGAGTTCCTCTTCAACGCCTACGTCTCGAAGCAGAAGCGGTGGGAGCTGGCGCGGAACCTGGGCCTTACGGAGCGCCAGGTGAAGATCTGGTTCCAGAACCGGCGCATGAAGAACAAGAAGAACAGCCAGCGGCAGTCGCAGCAGCAGAACAACAACAACAACAGCAACGCGAACAACGCGAACCACCACGGGGCGGCCGGGAGCCACCACCACCCAGGAAGCGGGCACGCACCCTCGAGCCACCACGTGGTCGCGCAGGCGCATCACGCGAACGGCTCGACCAAGCACCATCAGTGACCCGTGGCCTTCTCTGGGGTCCCCTTCGGGCAGCACCTGCTCGGACACACCTCCTCCATACACGGGGCAGCGGCGGCCGGCCACGGCCTCGTCGGCGCCGGCCACGGGCACGGGCTGCACGCGGCCCAGGCGCAGCTGCAGCACGCGGCCCAGACCCCGGCCCCGGCCTCGGCCCCGGCGCACCCGCACCAGCTCGCGGCCAACCAGCACCCGGCCGCGGCCCTGCTGCACCAGACCCCCCACGGCCTGGCCGCTTGAGGCGCCTGAGGCGGCGCCCGCCGACCCCAGAGAGACTCCGCCAAGGCCGGTTCCCCGGGACCGGGCCGGCCCCACGAACTCCGAGTAATCGTAGGTATATATATGAATATATATATCTATACATATTATATATATAAATAATGCGACGAGCGGAGCAAGAGACCCTGTATAGAGTGTGTACGTGTGTGTACGTGTATACGCCGTCCCGGCGCCGGCGACTCCGGGCTCGATCCCGAGTGCACCGGCCGAACGCGGTATGCGACACCCACCAGCGAGATCTGTCCACCAGCCCGTAATTCGATAGTATTCCTCCAGTTATATGAAGTAATTGCGTAATTAGTGTCACTCTAGAGTTCCCCGAAGCCCCTCGCGTACCACCTGTTTACTTTCGGGTCCGAGGTCCCGCCCCGGAGGGGCGTCGGTGGAAGTCGACGCCGCTCCCGGACGGGAACCGTGCCATCGCTCCCGGTCCTGGGTCCCGATTAGACGGGATGTCTCGCCAGCGGGGGATTCCAGAGGTAGCGACGGGTCTGGATGGCCTGTATCAGGTCCTGGAACGGCCCTTGGGTCCGCTCGCCGGAACGTAAGACTGCCCTCGCCGGGATGGGCGACATTCAAGGGGGACTCCATGGGCGCACTCGGTCGAATTCGCGGGGGGTAATCCGTGCCTGTTTCGACGAGGACCCTCGCTGGATGGACCTCCGGGGGAAGGACCCAGGAGCGGCGGTGGCGCGCTAGATGGAGATCGCGGTTAAATTAAGCGTAATGCGGAGTGAAGGGAGAAAGGAACCCGGAGAATTTAGTTAGACTCTCCAAACGTCGTACTTCTCGCCTACCAAGGATCGCAACTGTCGTACCTATGATTCTTAATTGTATGTAAAGACGAATTCTAGATTAAATGTACCTAGACGCGTCGGCGTAGCGAGAGCGGGCGGGCGAGCCACCCCCTTCGTACACCGAGCTCCGGACCTTGAGAGCTCGCACGCCGGAAAGAAGAAGTCCCCGGCTGGAGCAACGGCCCCCCCGGTACTCGCGCCGGGACTCTAGGCGAATCGCTCGATGGACGCTCCCGGATTGAGAGCGAGTTTCTTTTTTTTTTTTTTCTTCCTTCTCTCTTCGGCCGTAGACTCGACGACGTCCTGTCGGTTCTTCTTCTCGCGAGTTCGCCGGCACGTCGTCACTCGCGGCACCTCCTGTCGGTCCCTCCGTGCATCCACGGTACTTAAGGTCGGACGATCACGGGTTCAAGGTACTTAAGACCAGCGAAAAGGCGCGTTCGGCCGTCATTTTGGAAAATAGGCGAAGGGAGACCCGATCGAGCGAGGGAATTACGACGACTCGCGGCCCAATGTACGCGGCGGAAATCCCGGGTGGGTCGGCGTGGACCGTGAAAATTCCCTCTTGGGAGCCGTTTTAACCTTCCCCGGGACTTCGGGCGAGGGACTCGTTCCGGGGCGCGACGTCGAATTTACTTTTTGAGGCCGGAATTGTTCTATGGGCTCGAAAGGCGCCGGAGGATTGTTTCCTCCCGGCCGAGCCTGCTGTTGCGTAGGACTAATTACGCTTGTTTTTAGCGGAAATTGAATGCTTTTAATTAATGTCTAGGGTCGGATTAAGGATCGATGTTGTACATTTTAATGAAAGACACTAAGTTAAACGTTGTATAGAGAGCGTGGCTGCAATCTCGTGGACGGTCCCCGTAGTTTTAGGGACGTTTTATCGCGATCGACTGGACGTGTGGACCTGGAGGGAGAGGCCACGGAGAGACCTCGACGGAGGCCTCGTTTCCTCCTCGACGGACTTTAGGGAAAACGCATCCGTACTAGTTTTCGCGTCGCGGAACCCGAGGGGTGGGGCAATCTTTTCTTCTCTTAGGTTCTTCTCTCCTTTTGAATTTGTTCTTTTTTTTTTTTTCTCTCTTTTAGCAATTTATTAGCGTCGTTGCAAAGTTTTATATCGCGAGGGGAGCAGTTTGATCCCCTGAGGCCCGGTTGATTTTCTCCGATCGCCTTCCCGGTGCGTCCGAGCCTCGCCAGAATTTCCGCGTCCCGGTATTGCCCGGGACTTCCTGTTGGTTAAATCTTTGGGAAAAAGTCAGTTTCTCCCCGGAGGAAGTTTCCGCCCCGTCCATTTTGTGCCTCGGAAGATCCCGCGGGATCCGCTCGATCGGGTCGACGTCGGCGTACGTCGGGTCGAAGTTTTCCGAAGATCTTCGAGGATTTCGAATCCAGGTGGCGCGGTTTGTGGAATAATCCGGGTCGCGGGTCGCCGAGGAGATACGGCCCCGCGACCGGCCGCTGCGGAATGGCCGCGCGCACGCCGGAGAGCGGAGTAGGTAATTTTCGTCGAGCGTTAGAAGGAAGGAATTTTATCCCGGTGGTTCTCCATTATCTCGGTTGCAAGGATATACAACCCGACAAGGGGGAACCTTGGCAGGCGGAGAGTTCAGATCGCGAAACTTTCCAGTTTCCTCCGCCAGGAGGGGAGGGGGGGGGGGGCTAGCGGGGCTCGCCGCGGTTTTTGCACCAAGGAAACCGTTTTTCGGAGCGAAACCTCCAAGTTGCGGTAAACCGTGCATCCTCAATTTTCCTCCTCGCGGCGGAGCAACGAGCAGTCGCGACCGATTAAAATTTCTCGGGAATTTCGCTTCCAACCGCAGTCGCCCGATTTTTACTCCGTGGTTTAACTCGCGGTTCCCACCGCGAGCCGGGGAGGAGATTTTTCTAAAAATTAATATTTAAATCACGGACCCGTCTGCTAGATATTCAATGCCCGTTTCCGGAAGTTACGGTTTTGCCAAGGTGCATCCGACCATCTCGAGCCGAGAAGCCTCGGCCAAGTGCTCTCCCCTCCATACCTCAAACAAAAAAATCCAAAGACTTCCAACAAAAAAAATAAAGAATTAAAAGCAACCACAAAATCCCCCTGAATTCTCGCCTCAGAAATTGGCCCATTCCCGCCATTAAAACATACGGGGATTTCTCGGACCCCGCGATTCTTTTTTCTTTTCTTGTCCGAGGGGTAAAATCGACATCGATATATCTTCGCCTGCCTCGTTTCCCTCGCGACTTCCGAATCGGTGTGGTCTGCTACTTAAATATAACGTCCGACCTTGCGTGCACCTCGCCAGCGAGATAGAGGAAGGTAGCGACTCGTAGCAAGACCTCGTGTGTGCGAATGTGCGTTTTTCTTTCCGCATGCGGGTACGTGTGTGCGAGCGGGTGTGTGCGTGTGTATGTGTGTGCATGCGTGTATGCGTCCACGTAACCAAGTGAACGAGGGGAAGGGAAGAAAAATGACGAACTTGTAAGCGCGCGCGCCTGTAAGGGAGCGACCGTGAGTGCGAGTGAGCGAGGACGATGCTCGATCGCGCGAGAGCGAGCGAGACCGAGCGAGTCGACGAGGGGTTGACTTTCGGTGCGTGCGAGGGAAACGCGAGAGGTCCGTTGCGTGGATCGGCCTCCGCGTGGCCTCCACGGGTTCGGCTGTCTGTAAAGTTCTGCCACGGTACTACAATGGTTAATTATGTAACGATGATAAAATATAGTATGATATAAGTAAGAAAGTAAAGGAGAGCGGACGGTCGGGGGGTGTTTTTTTTCGGAAGGAAAGAGAGAAAGGGGACGACGAGGTCCGCGACAGCAGTCACACCGCGTCAGCTAAGCTTTGCAGCAGAACGTTGTAATTAGTATTACTTATTATCTCGATGACGATGTTTATTAAGATTATTAAGGTTATTAAGATTATTAATTATTATTATTATTATTATTATTATTATTATTATTCGGTCATTATTATTATTATTATTATTATTATTATTATTCGGTCATTATTATTATTATTATTATTATTATTATTATTATTATTATTATTAATTATATTAATATTATTATTATTGTGAGCGTCACGTTAATATTATGTTATTGTTTTTATTGTGTGTTGTTTTGTATGTACCTATCAGCTTATAACGATATTACGATGACGACAGCAATGACGGTGACGATGGTGTCAACGGTGATGATGATGATGATGATGATAAAAAACAATGACCCAGTCATAAAGAAAAGTACCAAGTCTCTTGAAGTGTTCGTGTATTGTCTCGGTATTCTCGGAAGCGGCCGTTCGCTTTTTTTACACGTTTCTCCCTGAGTGGTATCTTTTTCATCCCCTTTGGAAGGATTCCAGGGGGGTGGTCTTCTTCCTATGCTCCTTTTCTCTCGCTTTCACTCTACGGCGATATTATCTAATTCATACGGTAGATATTTATTTTGCGGAAATTATTTCTATGGGAGTTTTCGTCGGGTCGGATATTCGTGCACTGGAGGAGGAACGTAGGTGTATAAATAATCGGCGGGGTTATGTGCGGTAGTAAATTGTTACTCATATCGGGGGCGCATTTTCCTCGGTGATGGCGCGATTCGAGGAACTGACTTTGTCTTATTAAATGCGAGGATCTTTTTAGAGGGGAATATGAGTCCTGAATTTCTATTCTTCGGGGCCGGAAGCGCTCGAAATGGCGGAAAATAGGAATGAAACCGCGCTTCATTTAGGAGGCCGCAGTTTTACATAATCGCGCGTGCGCGTCATGCCCGTGAATTATCGCGACGTTTACCTACAAAACGCTTCCCTACGACGTCGTGATCCGGACGCGTGACTCGGGCCAGTTCGGCCGCGATTCCGCGCGTGGACCGCTCGCGGTTCCGCGGTCTTATCGCCGACTCGACGGGACAATCAGCTGATTCTCGCGGATTCGTCGTGGCTGCCGATCGACCTGACGGGCGCGACCGTCACCACGCTTCTCTCGGCG